ATCACTCGTCAAGTTTTTTTTTTAATTTTAACTTTTTATCTCATTGTACATGATTGAACAAACATCGATGTTGATAAGAGTCGTTCGTGCAAAGGAGTAAATATGCATTCTCAATTTTTTTCCAAAATAATTAAGTAAGTGAGCTAATTTTATTATGTATTAATCCATGTTATTTTTCTTAATTTTAGTTTGGGTCCAAATTACACCATAAATAGATTGAGCTGAGAATAAATCTTGTCTAGCGCAAGGCTTTGGACCACATAAGGATATACGAGGATATTCTAACATGACCGAGTATTCATGTCTTGTCTTTGAGAACATTAAGGAGATTGGTTTGATAGATTCGGAGCAATATTTGCTAAATAAAAATTCAATTATTACTTTTTCTAGTATTTGCTAGTAAGTTGAAGTAGTGTAGTCCAAGATACTTTAATTTTTTTCAACTTAAATCTAACTCGTCCACATATTGATGACGTGGCATGGTCTTAGTGATAAAAAAATATTTCCTTTAACTATAAGAGTACTCGCTAAATTCACTAGTCGGATTGTTATTTCCACCAATTTTTTCAAAAAAAATACCAATACGCCCTCCATTAATGTGTTATATAATAGTTATAGATAATTGATGAAGGATGTATTGATAATTGTATAGAAAAAAATGGTGAAAATAATAATTTAATTAGTGAATTTTGCGGTACCAATACTATAAATATCAACCTCATATTATTGTGAGAGGATTTAACTTTTTTATCTTTAACAAAAGAAAAAAAACATATGTATAATCTCTTAAAACTCTTTCATTTACATTTCAAACATTATTTAAAACTCTATCGGTTTGGATTTTGACATCTCACCTGCTTGCCACTTGGACTTGCATCTTGCTAGCATTGTCTACTCTTATTATATCACTTAGTACTTGCATCCATTTTATTTGATGGATTGACTCGTTATTTTTATAAATCCTAACATTAATTTTCTACATCTCCTTGAATCTATTGACTCATTGTTTGATCAATTTTTAAAAATCTCTTAGATACATTTTTATCCGAGTAAAACTTATGATACTTCCACCTAACAATACTTTAGACTAGAAATCAACACCTTATAGCCATCTTACTAATAATCAATAATAATTTGACTTAAAACTACAAGATTGCTAATGAATATTTCGGAACTCATAAAATTGCAAAACCCACAAAGGGTAAGAGTGTTCGTTCGTTCATTTGGTTCGATTTTGAAATATTTTGGATGATTTTTGGTTAATCGATTTTTCAAAAAAAAAAAAAATCGAAACCAAACCGATATGTTATTAAGTTTTTTTTATTCGATTTCGAAATATTTTGATTTTGGTGTTCGATAATTCAGTTTTTATCCGTTTTATTTTTTTTTCTATAACTAGTTGATTCTATTAAAGTTTCTAAAATCTCTATTTAGAGTGAGTTTCTTTTTGATTTGTGGACTACTAGATAGGAAACTAAGTTACGTCTAAAAAATAACAAATATATTATTAGATAAACAAATAATAAATTATCTACGTAAGAAGACTTGAATTGAAAATGATAGAAAATCTAACAACATCTTTGTTATTTTGTGTACATTCAGACTTGTTGTAGAGACAAAGAGAACACGTATGAAGCTGTGGGAGGAAGTGCATATAGGAGAGAGGGGTTTTCAATTTGGGAGTGCAGTGAAAATTTTGGTTTTTCTACTAAACGAATTTTTTTAAAAAAAATAACTAAACCTAAATCCGAAAAATGAAATTATTTCGATTCAATTTTTTTAAATTTCTAAAACAAAATATATCGAAATTAATATTTCAATGCAGATTATTTATTTTCATCGAATAGTTAACATCACTGACAAAGGACTCGGATCGCCTCCCTTAACAAGCACCGACACCAAAAACATCGATCGCACATCCTTTAAAAATATATTATTGACTCATTTTGTTTGTGATCTTTTATGCCCCATCACAGTCCCAAAACAATTCCAGGCCACCAATATGCACATCGCAGACTTACATATTGTTTAACTAGTTGACCATCACAGATGTCAACCTCAATGCATCGCAAATAATTATGTAAGATAATCATTAAGAAATCGGCTGGCTGTAACGTGGCACGCCCTAATGTGCATATGAGACTTGAATGATAGGGTTTTGATCTGCATTACCCTACAGTTGTTTTCAAGTAGTATAATCTTATCACCAGAATCTGTCCACTAAGCCTAGAACCCTTTGACCTTGAGAATGGGCACTACAGCTCCCCCACCAGCCACCAAGGACGAGAGTAGCTTGCAATTATTGGAACTTAAACATGGGTAATTTACCAATCTTTATGCTAGGAACATGAAGGTGCTCATCTAATATTAAATATGAAAGTAAAAAAAGTCAAAGCAGGTGCTCATAATACATATCTAAATGATGAGCTGTGTTGCTTATTTAAGAATTAGAAACTATTGAATACAGAAGTATGGCTTCACTCAAGAGTTGTTGGTCTTTTCATTTATGAGATTCAACTAAGAGCTAACGTGCATCCATTATTTGAATCTTCTCGATAAACAGGTAAACAGCGTCCATTTTTTATCAATAGAATTCATTGCCTAACAGCTTTCGTGGCAACTCAGTTGATTATTATAAGCACAAAACTTGGTGCTTGGCTCAGTTCAACCTCATGCATTTGATTATTAGCCACATGCTACCATACATCAGCAATGTACCAAAGTTAAGAAAATGTGATATCATTTTACTGAAAAATTAAACCAAATGAATCTGTAATAACATGGCAAGAACCATCTCTAAAATGAAGAAAACCACAGCACAACAGAAGTTTTGAATTGACTAAAACCAACCCAAGGAAATCAAACTCAGAACAATTACCATGTCAGGTCCCTAGGCTGCGATAAACTAAACATGAAAAGGACCCCGATTGGATTAATAGAAGCTGTAGAATGGTTGAACAGAATAAAATTACCATCCTACAAGAGCCCTTACCCCTCCCCTAAAATGGAGAAAAAAGTTTTCCAACTGTTGAACTTTTAGAAAAAAGTACAAAACTATGACCGACTCCAGTCTTTTGTGGCATGGTTATTGCCTTCTGATACAAAACTAAGGCAATGTCGCAATGATTCCTCCTAGATAAACTGCTTCCAATTCAACCTAACTTTCCTTAGGCAGCCTGTCAGTTTCAGCCTTTCATTTGACTCTTTAGCATTATATGCCTCTAAGGTCTAACCTCGCTCTGCTGAAAAATTTATCACTGACCATCAAAATTTGAAATTTGCTCGTGCACAACGTGCATCTAAGAATATTTTGCGCATTATCAACTAAAATTACTAGCAAAAACACCAATTGATATGAGAAAACAGATTCTCACTTTCAAACAGAAAGCATCTCCAAGAGTAAAGTCCCACCCAAAAGATTCCATCTTTTTTTCCCCAGTATCATGGCAATCAATATTTCAGCTCGTATCCATAACCTGCTTAGTCTACTAGAAAATCAGCATTCTCCTGTCCCACAATAGCTATCCAATTAAAGATATCAGAAACCATTAAGAAATTAAGCTCAGCTAATATAGAACTTGAAATAATAGCTCACCCAGGCTAATGGTATTATATCAGAATCATGGCAATCAATGGTGCAACAGCTCCAAGGTCTTATGGTTCATCTGTTCACATAAAAATCTAATACAGCTGACACACAAATCACTGAAAACAGAAAAATTCCAGCCTCATCTCTTTAAACAAGTCTCACTTAAGAAAACATTCCTTGCCCTCTGAGTTATGTCTACCTCCGATTATGATCTCTCCATCAGTAATGGGTTAAAAATGATTCGTACCTTTCTAGTTAATCTGGCTAGGTTCCTGTACAACCAACACACTAGAGCTAAATCTTATCACGAATCATTGGAGTTTCCATGTAGGATTCAACCTTGTGGTTCCGACTCTGTAAAATCCAGTTTAAAAAAGAAAAGAATGTCCATTATATTATACTGAGCACTAGCTATTTGGTAACAACAGTATCAAAACCTACCATAAAAGCAAAGAACAGGTTCGATTACACGCCTAAAACAAAATCACTAAGAATTCCTACGCTAAATCAAAATTATTTCATTCTGTTTTCATAAACTAAAATTACTTCAAGGGCATACTATCTTCGAACAGAATTTCATTAAAACTCCCATGCTCCTGCTCTACAAAGAGCTTTCTCATTCTCTTTTGATACTATAGAAGAAGCCTGGGCAACCTGGTCCAATCACAATCTGTTTCCTCAGTCATCTATTCTAAAAAGCAAAAACCATAAAATGGAATTAAAGGTTTGCTCCTAAACCAAGTATGAATAAGCATACGGTAACAAAACTTCTTTGATGTACAGAAAGTCTAATGACTGGTTATATAGCTATTCGCCATTATTTGCCAAATCAGAAACTACAACAGAGCAATTTGATTGCTGAAATCTTCTTTTCACCAAAACACATTAGAAGTGCAACCTAATTTAATAAAGGTGGAGGAAACTTTATTTATGCTTTCATTTTTTGTGCAAGGTGTTAGTCCTCTGAACGTCAAGAAGGCTAATCACTATAAACACGAATGGTACATGAAAAGCAAGGTTCGCATGGCGTGGAACCTGACAAAGGGGTAATAATCTCAAGCCATATCTGTTATTAAAGAAATCCATCCAGTCAGAAGTAAGGAAACCAGATAAAGACATTGGTCACGCCAATATAATCAATCATCATAAAAAGAGGTATATGAAAACCAGAGATTGTATTCTCTATCACAGAAGTTTTTGCTGAGGCAGAAAGTAACTGCAACAACAGATCATACAAATTGTGCAGATATAAAATACATCTTTACTGACAACAGTAAACATTGGAGCAACTTCTCTAGACACTTCAACATCACACAGAAATGCATGTGTACATTACATATGCCGCATGCAGAAATCACAAGAATTTGAATGGCAAGATGGACCTAAAATCATCAAATCCATCAGAAGTACCCTAAAGTGTGTCTGAAGGCATTCCAGTGACCCTCTCCAGATCCATCTTGCAGTTGTCCCTCAAATCTTTCAGTGTCACATATCCAGCTTGCTGCAAGGAAGATTTGAGATCCAAATCAAACTCACAAGTCATGATAAGAAGTAATCACAATAAGTGGAGCATTGATTTGAAACTGTAACAGAGCCATCCCAACCAATAAATCAAAAATCAGGCAGAAACTATATAAAGGGTTTCAAGGAAAGACATGCGGAAGGCAATGGAAATTGAGAATCCAAGTGAGTAATGACGAACCAGGGGCAAGGGTCCAATTTTCCATCATGAGAAATGTAATCTAACAAAGCAGTAAATTTTACACTCACAAGCTGGCTGCTTTCACTTGCAAACGTATCCTCCATGTGTCGAAAAAGAGACTTCCACTGATCATTGAGGTCAGATTCTAATTTCGAGGATTTGATGGAGTTTACTTGGCTATGAATGTCTGTCTGCTTTCCCCTGGAATATTTATTAACCAAGATTCCAGCTTCCTTATGACTCTTCCTCAATGCTGAGAGGAAAAAGGAAATTACATGAACTCAACAACCAAAAGCTACATCACATCATCAAAGCATTCCAATTTTAAGAAATGTAAATGCCAGTTCTTGCAGTATTGGTTTGTTCTCAACAAGCATACCAGATTGTCGACCTTTTATGTCTTGGTAATATAGGTCCGACCAAATATAAGCAGCTGATTGACAAATTGCAAAACAGAACACTCTATTTAGATACATACATACGTGCATATATATATATATATATATAAATATATATATATATATGAGCAGTAAATTTCTATAATCAATAGCAATCATGGAAATTACAACAAAAGCATGGCTTACAAGTACCTTTCAAGCAAAAAGAACAAGAGCAAGTTTTGAGCATGTCAGCGCCTGCTTTCAGATTGGTACAAACATCGCCCTTGAGTGTTGTGCACTTTTCCAACTCAAACGATTTCAAACCCTGTGAATTGGGCAACCTCGACCACTCAACAGAACCATATTTGTCACTAGCCAATCTACCAACACCAGAAACATTCTCATCACTTGTAGAAGCACCACTGACTAATACTTGAACTGCTGGATTGTTCAGCATAACACTGGAGGTGACTTTCCCTTCGTCATCACTATCTTTTGCACACAGCCCAAAGCTTGTATACATTGAACCACTAGATGCACAACTAACTTCCCCAACGCTTTGTGTTCTCGTACCGCCACTCATAACAGGATCCCCACTACCATCAATCAAATTAGATGTTTCCTTAATATCACTAGGTCTATCTGCGACAACAGACACAACAGCTACATTCTCCTTCGAGGCATCAATCTTACTACTAGTAGTCAACGAATCCCAACCCTTCTCATTACCACTGTCATCTCCAATTTTGGTTTGGCTTTTCTCTAAACAAACTTGTTTTGCAAAACCTGAACCCCCATTTTCACCAAACCCACCTCTAGATTTAATCCCCAAATCATCAGAAATCGATGAAAACCCCCTTTTTGCTGGCAAATTAGTCACATCCCCCAAAGCGGCACGCGGTTTAGAAGTGAAATTATCTCCGCTCATTGTTAATCCAACAAAACCAGGAATAAAATGAAAAAATACCCAGTTACCAAATCACAAAAAATTAAACACCCATTTCGCGAACCCACTAATCCACGAAACCTAAAAAATAAAACCAAGAAATGAGTTTCAATTCGTCAACATAGATCTACGCAAACAACAGTAAAGTAACCGAAAAATAATACACAAAAAGAAGAACCCTTGTTTTGCAAGACGTTGAATCTGGACATATATTACGTAATAATGAATTTTGAAAATATAGAAAGATTGATGGGAATAACATGAAGTTTAAAGAAATAACTGACCTTTACAGGGAAAGATTCTGTGAATTTTGAAATAATAAAGGTGAAAGCTGAAGGAAAATGCTAGTAATTAAGATCTGCAAATTTTTGGTTATGGCGTTACTTCTTTTTTATATGAAAAGCTTGAGGAAGTGAGCAAATTTGGTTGAGGCGGGAACCATGTTGAATTCAGGTTCCTGAGCCTCCTTTTTGAATTATTTGGGCTTCGGAGCGGGCAGGCGGAATGGACTTCTATATCATTGTGCACGCTTTGGGGCTTTGTCGTTCAAATCCGGGCCAATATTTTTCTTTTCCTCTTTATTTACAAGGGGTGAAAATAACCACCAAGTATTAGGAGTAAATTAGTTGGTCCTTCTCGTTTTAAAATAATTATTTAATCTTTTATATTTTAATTTTATCAATAACTTAATATTTTTATTAATTTTCCATTAGATTAGTAATATATATCTTATTATATTATTTTTTATTCCTAAATTATTTTTAATGTCTTATTTTTATCTTTCATCCACTTTCTATCTCTCTCATCAACCATCAATTGATTGAAAAATTCGAGAAAGAGCTCATTGTAATGGTTGAGTTCTAAATATTAATGTTCCACAGATGCTGGGATTGCTTGCGCTAATTAATCAGTTACATACTAATCATCCCTTGTTGCATTTAGAAGAATTTTTTTTAATCTCCTAAAGCTTCTTTCTAATTTAGAACCTTACTGGTTGTTGAACTGTGAATCATACAGAATATATGAAATAAAAATTATTATAATTCGATGATCATCGCAATGATGTAGGTTCACCTAAATATACCAAAATCAAATAAAAAATCCACTTAACTTGATATTTTTAATCAGAATTTTGTACTTAATTAATTCTTGTATTTTTTTCAATATATTTCATTCTAAAAAAAAAAAAAAGATTTTTTTATGCATGGATTTAATAATCCAAAACACAAGTTTCAATTAATCTGAAATCCTAAAAACAAATATGTAAATTTAATTATTTATTTAATAAGATTGCATCAAACACCGATTAATTTCTAAAAAAATTGCATAAGAAATTTAAAATTTAAGATAAATGTTTATAATATTGATGGGAACAATAATTTTAAAAGTATGTATATTAGGTTTATACACACAATCAGAATAATAAATAATATTAGCATAAAAGAACTCTATTGGAAAAGTATGGTATATTAGTGTGTGTCTTTTTCAAACATAATTTTAATTATTTTACTTGAGGATAACTGATTTCAAAATATCCATTAAAAAAAAAAAGTAAACAAAACATGTTGATTATATATTCTTTTTCTTCCTAATAGATATTTTTATTTGTAAATCATACATGCTTGATCCTCGAGCATAGACTTCACATGTATAACAATCAATCTTTCATTTCTTACTTTTAATTGTTACTCAAAATAAAAAATAAATATTCTTACTCAAAAATCAAATCAAATTCAAAAATTCAAGTGAATATTTTAAGATATCGATCTATTTTTTCAACTATTTTATGGTTTGAGACCATCATAAACAAATTTTCTTTTTTAAAATGAACAAATCAAAATCAAGATCGACGAGTGAAAACGATCGAAATGGGTTTCATCATCGTCTTCTCTTTCTTTGTCTCTCTCTCTACATTTAGAAACCAAACTGTAATATCAATGAAGTTGGACATCAAAACAAAAGTAAAAAAAATAAAAATAAAAATCAAAGATCAAATTGAAATATTTATTCAAATTTCATATCAAATGTTTGAAAAAATACTAAAAATCACAGCAATGCTATCACAAATGCATAAATAAAGGTTGAAAATCACAACAATATCATTAAAATACATGAACAAAAGGTCAAAATAACAACAATACCAAGATAATAGTGCACATGAAAGTTACAATAATACCATGTAAATAGTAAAACCAATAGTTAAATAAGACTTGGTGAGTACTAAAAAAAATAGTTAACTTATTTTGTTTTAGTTGTTTTTGCTAATTTAAAATGATTTATGATAAATAAAATTTAAAAGAATAGTATAAACTAAATAGAAAAAACATGACCAATCTTTTTATTAAAATATTTTTCAAATAATACATATTTTATATTGCACCACTTAATCGTTCAAAATATTTTAATCTATAAATTTTTAATTGATAGTATATTTGTTGAAAATAATAATATTTTAAGTTATTCGTATTATAATTTTTTTAAAAATAATAACTAAATTTTATATTATTAAGAATAAAATGATGTATTGTTTTTAACACTTGCATAGCCTATTTTTTTCGACATTACACTCTACAATCTCAATTAACGGAGTTAGAGAGTACGTTAATGAGATTACAAAAAGACCAAAATACTTCTTTATAAAACTCACTCTTAAACACTCATCATTTTCCAACCACCATTTTTTCCTTTCTTATGTCTCTTTTTGTATCCCTTTCTCTATTCCCTAAACCCATTGACAATATTGAAAAATAATATCAAAACTTTCAGAATATAGAGAAATCGACACTAAAAACAAAAAATTGTCAAAGCCATAAAAAAAAAAAAAAAAAAAAAAATTGGTACATTTCTTTCCATTTTTATCCCTAGAAAATCCTTACATCCACCCGATTCATTCAATCAATGCGGTCATTAGCGTCATTATCGCTTCCACTATGACCGAATAACAACCACCACAATATCATGGATTTTTTTTTGAAGGTGGCACTCGTGATGAATTATGAGTTTTCAATTTTCGATATCAATTTTTTTTTTAATATGAATTTAAGAAATTAAATATTCATTGTTAGGATCTATCGTGTGTTTTAAAATTATTGATTTAGAGATAGTATTTTCTGAAGAATTTTGAATTGCATTTATGGTGTAGTTTAGCACTCTTGGTGAATCATAGGTTTTGGATTTCAAATCTCAAGTTTGGGGGTTTTTTTTTCCTATGAATTTGGGAGATTAAATGTAACCTCCGTAAAAACCTTTATCCGTAACGCGATGTGTATTAGAATAATTCTATATATATGTATATTAAGAGTAAGTATAATTATCATTTCATCATGAGAAATTAATGCTTGAAATATGTGATTTATGTTAAATTAAAGTTATTTTACTTAAGATTAATGGTTTAATTATTAAAGAAATCAAATATGCAAAATCGGTGTTTTAAGGACTATATTCTACTCGAGTTTTGTGTGAATTATTTGAGGACTTTAGGGTAATTTTTGGGTCAACCTTAAAAAACGATAGTTGTTCATCTATGCGTTGAATAGATCTGTATAAAAGTTTATAGTATTTAGACCTATAGATCAAGAGTTATATGAATTATAGTGAGGGTTGTTTCGAAATGCATTCTGCTGGAATTTTGGGAGAAGAATCTGTCCAAATCTTGTGAGATTTATTTGATGTTGTTAGATTTATTTTTGAGCAAAACTTAAAGAATAACAGTTGTTTTTCTATGTGTTTACTAGCTCTCTATAAAATTTCATAATTTTTTAATACATATAGAAAGAGTTATGCACATTTTAGTATAGATGGGTTAGGAGGAAACACTGCTGGAATTTTGGAGGGTAAAGAAATTCCGAATTTTAAAAATGGAAATTTTCGAATTTTTATGAAAGAAAGTAGTTTTAGTTACTTTAATTAATTTAATTAATGATTTTAATTAGTCTAAATTTTATATAGACACCTAAGTAAATGCAATAAATGAATTTAATGCCAACTCACCCATTATGGATTCCAAAGCGACTGACTTTCCTCATGACTCAACCATAACCTTTACACCTTATCCCATTAATTTCTAACACTTGTAGCTGAATAAAAGTAAGTATATACATATATAGCAAGTGTTAAAATGGGAGAAAAATTTTAGTAACCCGTAGGTACCAAAAATTGAGAGAGAAAAAGGCAAGAAAGAAAAGAGAGGAAGAAAAACATGAGGAGAGAAAGGAAAGGAAAGAAAAAAGGAAGGGAAAAAGGAAAGAAAAAGAGCTAAGAAAACTATAATCAAACCTAAAAGAGGTAAGTAGGTTTCATTTCTTGGCTGATTAATGTCTTAAATTATTTTTTTAAAGTTATTTTGTTAGTGTTTATTTCATGGGTTGTAATAATCTTCTATGGTTATATGCTTGATGCTTGGGATAAATCTATGTATGGATGCCTTGTTGTGGTGATTTATGATGTTATGATGTTTTGAAAAATGTCCAAGTATGTGGTGATGGGTTGGATTGGACTTGGACTAAATTTAAGTGAATTAAAACATGTTTAAACTTGGCTTGGAATGAACTAATAAATTAGAGTTGATAAGGAGTAAATTATGTCCGAATTTTGGGGTGCATAAAATGAGTCATACGACTAAAGTGCCGACTTCGAATCAAACGGCCAAAAGGAAACAATAGCAATCCCTCAATATCCTACAAGACTGAAATAATGAGGGGTGAGCAATCCATAGCTTAGTGAGTAGATATTATATAATATACTAAAGGAGGAAAACAAACTATAGACGATGTTCTCAAATCTATGTCAAAATACAATGCTTATTTCTTAAAACACATGCATATTGAAAATGCATTTCATATCACAATCATTTCGTATCAAATCGTCAAGTAATTATTCATACATATATCATACTCATACAAAAAATACATATATAGGTTTTATACGCCCGTGGGGTAATAACAAATCATTAGATGCAAACACCCAAAGGTCACGCCCTCGTG